AAGCACATCCTCTGAATAAAAAAAAAGACTAGAGATTTTTTTTTTTTAAGAAAATTTCACCCTTATAGTCCTGTGAGCAGAGCTGAAATATTGCACTTGGGCCAAATTTTTCCAATAATGGCATTGGCATTTTACCAAAATCACTTTGTTTACCTCTAATCATCAGAGTCTTTGGTCAGATGTATAGTTTACAGTCTTCAGTCAGATAGTTCCTGCCTGGTAGAACTTCAGTGAGAAAGGAGGATCAGCTAAGCAGGAAGTGTAATGAAAAAAAATGGCTGCCTTCATGTATAATTATTACAAACTCTACATAGAAACATTAAACTATAAATATAGTAAATACTACAAACATAAAACTGAAAACATAATTAACAAACATTGAGAATGCTATACTTAAAGTTTATCTCACATGAATATTTATAAAACATTAAAACTATTTTATTTCCCTTTAAGTAGCCCGGCCATAAGCTCACAGACAAATAATGTATTGAAAATTAGCTCATGTCTTAATGTCTGAGGACCTCTTGAAGACACGGTGGAAAGTCAGTAAAGCATATTTGAGACCACACTGCTTATCAATCCTGCATTGTTTCTACTCCAGATCTTGCTCTTGACAAGCTTGGAAAGAAAATTGACTTTCTTATTACGTGGTAGATTTCAGAATTCTGCGTCTGGGGTCAGGTCTCTGTTGTATTTCAAGAGAACATCTGTGCAGCTGCCAATAAACCCGGCAAAGTAAACTTTTTGCACAGCCCCGCTGGCTTTTTAGTGCAAGTAGTTACAAGACATATTTTATAGAGATGCTGCACAGAACGCTTTCCTTTCACAGGCCTGGAGCTTTCTTCTCCAAGCACAGCATGGTCCTCAGATCATATTTATTATGTGTATTTTAATATCTGGATATCATGTAATAAATAATTACTATAAAATGCACATTCCTGAATGACCAGGTTTTTATTTTCTTGTGTTTCCCTAATTTTAATTCAGCATGGCATTGTAGAGGAAAGAACATTGATTTTATAGCCAAATCTAAAAAGTATTGTTCTGTAATAAAATTGCTTCTCTGTTCCCTCTTCTCTTACTCTTCTAATCTGCTGTCCCCTCTATTCCTCTCCTTATTTTTCCTTTCCCCTCCAATAGCTTCTCCTTTTTTCTCCTTCTTATTCTTCCTCCTCTTTTGTCCACTCCTCTTTTCACCTCTTCACTTCTCTCTTCCTCCTTTCCACTCCTACTCTCTTCCTCCTTCCCTCTCCTCTTCTTTCTTCCTACTCTCCTTTCCACTTCTCTTTTCCTCCTTTCCACTCCTATTCTTTCTTCCTACTCTGCTTTTTACTTCTCTCTTCCTGCTTCCCACTCCTCTTGTTTCTTCCTACTCTCCTTTCCACTTCTCTCTTCTTCCTTCCAACTCCTACTCTCCTCCTCCTTCCCTCTCCTCTTCCTTCTTCCTACTCTCCTTTCCACTTTTCTTTTCCTCCTTCCCACACCCATTCTTTCTTCCTACTCTGCTTTTTCACTTCTCTCTTCCAGCTTCCCACTCCTCTTGTTTCTTCCTACTCTGCTTTCCACTCCTCTCTTCCTGCTTTCCACTTCTCCCCATTTCTATTCGTTCTTTCTACTCTCTTTTCGACTTCTCTCTTCCTCCTTTTGACTTCTACTATCTTCCACCTTCCCTGTCCTCTCCTTTCTTCTTACTCCGCTTTCCACTTCTCTCTTCCTCATTTCCATTCATACTCTATTCCTCCTCCCCTCTCCTCTTCTTTCTTCCTACTCTCCTTTCCATTTCCCACTCCTCTCTTCCTCCTTTACACTTCTCTCTTCCTCCTTCCCACTCCTTTTCTTTATTTTACTCTGCTTTCCACTCCTCTTATCCTCCTTCTCTCTTCTCTTCTTTCATCCTTCCTACTTTGCTTTCTATTACTCTCTTCCTCCATCCCTTTCCTCTTCTTCCTTGCTACTCTGTTTTCCACTCTTATCTTCATACTTTCCACTCCTCTTTTCCTTCCTATCCTATGCTTTTATCTCTTCCTTCTCTCCTCAGCATTCCTTTCGTCCTCCTCTCTTTTTCACACTTTACACTCCTCAACTCTTCTCTTCCGCCTCACCTCTCCCCTATTTTCTTCTTCTTTCCTCTGTTCCTACTCTCCCACCTTTCATTTCTTTCAACTCTCTTTTTCACTGCTTTACACTCCTAGTTCTTTCCATTCTCCAATCTTCTATTCTCTTTTACTCTTCCTTCATCTCCACTCCTACTCTGCCCTCTGCTCCTCTCCCTTCCCATCTCTCCTCTCCTTTCCATTTTCTCCTGTTTCCCTCCTCTATTTACTTTCCTTTCTCCTCCTCTTTTAATATTTATGAAGTAATTGTAATTCCAATCTAATTGATGACTGACACATCTTTATATATCCCCAGCCCTTCCATTCCTTTCCTCTTGCTTCTCCTCTCCCCTTTTCTCTCCTCTCTTCTCCCCTCTCTTCAAGCTGTCATAGCACTTCCTATTCTAACACACAGCTCCCCTAGTGCTTTCTTTTACAACATTCAGCTCTTGTTACAGTTTCCCTGCTAATGTACGCAGCCGTTTCTTCCAGCAAAGCTCCTCATCTTCATTCATTTTTTATGCCTTTTCCCCCAAACAAAAATCAGGCAACATGCACACATTAAGAAGAACTCTGGGCAAAAATGTTCTTAACTCTTGCAGAGGGGCTTCCCCCCGCACTGCATGGAGTACGTTTTCATTTTCGTGTAGGTGCAAAAATAAAAAAAGTTATGCTCACCCAATCTTCAGAGCTGGCTCGCTGCTAGACAGGTCCTTCCAGCTTCTCTTCCCCTCCGCTCCAGAGGTCTAAGGTTCCCTAAGTCATCACGTCCTGAATTGGACAGGAGGACGCTGAGAGACATTATCCTGCTGGAGTGGAGGAGAAGAGAGGCTGGAGGGAGCCTCACTCCTAGGGTAGCACCACTGCAAGAGTTAAGAAAAATCTACTTCTTTAATATATCTATATATACACAATACAGGATGCATAAATGCTTCATTTGTAAAACACATACACTATCTTTTCTGTATTTATGTATATAGAAAAGATACAAAAAAAAATATTTGAAATAAAGAATACATGGAATTTGTAAACAGAAAAGTGATACCAGGTGGCATTTAAAAAACGAAAAATGTACGGCAACGTTACATACATATCAGATAATTAAAATTTCGTACAGGCATGGGTACTTTACATACATACAGTATATGTGAATAGAAACATAAAAGAGTGACAGCACAAAAAGTGGTCTGTTGAGTTCTCCCCTTTTTGATCTTTTTGTTTATATTTTGTATTTTGTATTTTTTTTTAAACCCATTTTCTGATTTTAGATGTGTGTTTGTCCCATGCATGTTTAAATACAGTTACTGTTGGCTAACTTATTACCTGGAAGTCTGTTCCCAGCATCAACTACTCTTTCTGTAAAATAATACTTTCTACGGTTATTTTTGAACCTTCTCCGTCTAGTTTGAGGTCACGTCCTGTGTCCTTAGCTTCATATTCAAAATGCTGCCCTCCTGGACCTTATTCACACACTTCATGAATGTAAAGGTTTCATTCATGCCCCCCGTTAGCACCTCTATTAGTATTATCTTATTGTGATCGCACCATTAAATTTTGTAGCAGTTTGCTGAATAGCTCCTTCACATGAACCATAACACATAAGCCCTTCATTTAAGGTAAAGTGGTCCTATAGCGGTCCTTCAATTACCGAGGCTTGTGTGGCTCTGAGGTAATTAGCCATGACACAAACAGACACTTTTACAAACATGAAGATATAATCTTGAAGGTCAAACAACATGGTCACATTTGTCAAACACAATTTCCCTTTACATATATCTCACTCATTTGGGGTCTAGTTTGCACAGAGATACTCATGTTAAACTGAGAACACTAGTTACAATCTGATTGTACAATCTCCTTTAGTATTTTTTGTTTTAAGCATGTATTCTTTATTGAAGGTAGCACATACAGACAAATCAGTCTTCAGCTCAATTGGTACAGAGGCAAACCTGTTGTGAACAGCAAAAAAACCCCCCAAAAATACAGAAAGTGCAAAAAAAATAAAATAAAATATGAACAAGTTTGAATTTGAACCAAAAAGCAACACAATCACCTTGAATACCTTGTGAAGATACCCAAGCGGGTTAAGAGGGTACCAGAAGGGTTTCAGAAAGTAACAATAACAATTTGGGGAACATCAGTGTAGAGGAACGTTAAAAGGACACCTAGAGCACCCAGAGATCCAGTCAATTTGGCAGTGTGGTCTCCTTTAGTTTTAAAAACTATGCAGTGTACGGGATGCTAGACTGGATATGAAATGAAGACACCATTTCAAGGGAGTTTATAGTCTTTTCAGTGTTTCTTTGTTTAGTTATTTAATTAGTCTTCTTTATATTTGTTTTTTTAAACTCTTTTTGTGTGTATTACGTTACAGATGTACTTTTTTTTTTACTGTCTTTTTCCTTCTGTGGCAAAGTAAAATAATTTAGCTAACGAGGAGCCATTTTCTGGCACAAGAACAGGTCCTGGATAGTTAAAAGTATCTTCCTTAACTCTCCAGAGCCATTAAAATCCCATTGCATCCTTAAAAAACACCAAAAAGAACTTTAATTTGTTGTCTCTATTGACTCCAATGCATTTGACTAAATCCCTCTGATTTTTGCAAAAATTTGATAGAAATTGAAACTTTAAATTTCACTCACCTCTGAAGATTATACAAAAGGGTGAAGAGTTTGGAGAAGGCAGGAGAAGGGAACAATCTAGGACAACATAGCTGAACTGGAAAGTGAGCTGAATTGGAGAAGTTTTCCAAATCAGCTATGTTGTCCTAGATTGTTCACTTCTCCTGCCTTCTCCAAACTCTTCACCCTTTTGTGAATAACCCTGACAGAGATTGTACAGTATATTGTCTGGAAATAACCCCAATAATATGCATTACTCTCACTTTATGTTTCTTTCCCTGCACAGGTCTTGGAGATGCATGGGGCCATCCTGCAAGAACTGGACCATTGGATAATGTGGCAAAGGAGCTGGGATCTCATCTACTTCAGGTATTTATCTTGCGGAGTCACTGCTGCAACGTGTGCTGTTTTTTTAAATCTGGAGGAACAGAAAGTTCTAGGGTAGCTGTCAGTGACCAGATTCCAAATCTCATTCTTCCACTCCAAGTTAGAAAATTACATTTGCTGCATTGCATATGGATGGTGGCAACATGTTTCAGTCCTGGCAGTTCTGCACAATGATGATCGCTTCTTCATCTTATAATTGGCCTTTGGATTACAACTGAACATAACCTCATTGGTCATGTCCACCTTCGACTCTTTCCTATTTGTAAGGAAACCTAGCTAAAAAGGGGAGCTTCCCGCAAGAGAAGAGACAGTATACTTATCACTTTGGCGGACCATGTCTCAACATGCATGCATTCCACACTTCTGGCAGTGTCAGATACTTTTGTTCCCCGCTACACAATGTGTTTCCTTCCTCTGACCCTTAAGTTATTTATGAGTCAGTGTCACTGACAGTCATTTTGGTGTTACCCCCTCTGAAATTCGGGCACTCAGTCATGGACCAAGAGCCTGACAGCTGCACGAGAGAGGAGGGGACCCGGCAGGATAAGGTATGCAACGTCCCCTTCTCTCTTTGCAGGCGTCCATCACCAAGATGGCCGCTGGCAGTTAATTGCTCATGGTGTCATTCCGGGTGTACGTGATGACGTCCCAGTGGGTTACACCCGGAGGCCACACTGGGTGACACCCGGCCTGGGGATGCTTCTGCATGTGGGGACATTGTTTATTTTTCACTTTTTTGAAATATAAATATTTTCCAATGATGTGGGTGTTTCCATTTTTTCATTTACTATTTACCTTTTCTGTAGGTTAATGCACCCTGTACTCAATCACATAAGAGTTTCCAGACTCCGCTTAGCCCACAGACCCCCATAGTGGAGAAGGGAGGCACAACTAGTGCAAGCACCTGAATATGACTTGGTATTAGCCTCTTGTAATCCCCTGTGCAGCATCTCTCAGACTTGAAGAGGGAGGGGCAGCTCTAGGAGCCAATCAACTATGCAGCACTACACAGTAGCAGACAGGCACAAGTGGGCAGAGGGATGTACTCACCAGTCCGCTGCTGCTCCTTGATTGTCCAATTACAGGATAGGGGTAGGTAGGTAGGTAAACATTCTGTACTGCATGAATGTAACAGAGGAAAGCTAGGTCAGCCGGTCTGCTGTATGGCTGGTCTTTGTATATCTCAGGACTGGCTGGACAAAATTACAAACTCTTTGACAGGTAAAACAGTTCCTATATATGAATGTGAACAGTGTATTTAGTGGTTTGCACAGACATGAGATGATCTTTCCAAAGTTTGGCCAGATTGGATGACAATCAATGTCTATGGATACCTGAAGACACTAACAATTCAGATATCTTGGAGGAAATAACAAATAGACATGCAGACCCACTGCTAGCTCCTTTTTGCGTCCGAGGCAAGAACAGAAAATTGTGCCCCCCCCCATAACAGACATGTAATGTCACCCGCCCTGCCTCTAGGATGGCGGCGCGCATGCGTAGAATGTGCTGGTGGCCAAATCCAAAATTGCATACAAATTTGTTTTGTTTGACAAAACTAAATGTTTGTAGGTTCCGTTCATTTCGTCCAAAACGCATTTTTGGCCTTTGCACATGTCTAATAATATGTGTGCATGAGTGTGTGTTTTTTATTTATTTTTTATTATTATTGTTTTTTATTTTTTCTTACTGTTGGGGAAAACTAAACAGACCCCTGACATTTCCCTTTTGAAATCGAAAAATTAATTGAGTTTCAATCCCCTTTTCTGCAGCATCTGTTCTAAATTAATGGAAAGCACTCGGTACAGAGGCTTCCTATTCATTCAAAAACTGGTGATAGTAAAATATTTACTATCAACCAGTTATCAATGGGTAGAAACCACTTAAGTGAGTGCTTCCACATTGAGAAATTCATGAATGAACAGGAAGTGATGTAAATCACTTCCTGTTCATTCATACCTGGGAACACAGTACTATGGGTCCCCAGCTATTTACAAATAAGTTGATCAGTTGATCACTCCAGTGTTTGCTCAGCACAAAGAGAATCTGTAAATATCTTGGATATCTAACAATCCTCCGCTATGCCATCCTAAGTGCCAGAGGAGGGAGCGCTGAAGCTGGTGGGGGGGGGGGGAATCGCTGTCACTTCAGGAAGGCCGAGCAGTGAGGAGAGTCAGCTGTCAGATCCTGGCCGAGCGGTGAGGATAAAAATATTAATAATTAAAAATAATTAAAAACACACACACGCACTCATACACACATATTATTAGACATGTGCAAAGTACAGAAATGAACGGAAACTAAAAATGTTTTCATTAGTTTTGTCAAACGAGTTTAGTTTTGTCAACTCCCTCCTACGCTCCCCCTGCCGGCTTCAGCGCTCTATTTCTCATCGGATCCCCACTGCCTCTGCCTATACAGGCGGGGGAGAGCAGCGGGGATCCAAGTAGAAGCTGGAGCCCGTGCCGCCCCCTCTTCCCCCTGCCGCGCCGCAGCTGTGTTGGCTGTCTGACGCCCCTGTTTTTCACTCGCCCTGTGGGCTGAATGGATCTCTCCATTATGCTTAACAGTGTATATGTACAAATGTATTCTGAAAGTTCCTCATGAACCGGCTGGAATTCACACACTGGGTGCTGCTGTCAGCACCCTTCTGCCCGGCATCCCCGACTGATAAAAGGAGCTGGTTGGGGAATTCTCGGCTGAACGGAGCTAGCAGCCAATCAGCTGATAGGTCTATTCGGGTAGTCTGACAGCGGAGAAATCTATTCTTTTCATTCAGTCTGCGGGTTGAACGGAAAAAAAAATATAAACGTGTATACCGTCTTAACAGTGTATGGCAAGCCTTAGTCTACTGACTGGAGTTCTCCTTTACCATATAATGATAGTAATAATAATAATAATTCTACAAGCATGCATGTTGTGTTTTTATTTTTTTTAGTATTTTTTGGGCATGATATAAAAATTAGACTTTTGGCATAGTACAAACCCATAACTAGATATTGAATTAGTTTCCTTTTGTACAGCACATTCAGTTTATTTTCCTTTTCTTATCCCACCTTGCCCAAATATTTATAGGTATTTTGATAGCTTTTCTGCATACAAGTGCGTACACTCGTACAGGCGTTTAATCCAGTGCAATTTTTCATTTGTGGCTTAAAGCCCTGTAGGTTTGCCTAGAATGTTACCATTATAGGCAGAAAATACATTGCAGACTGCAATAATCTCTCCAAAACCCTGTGCAATCTCACTCAGAGCAATGTGTTTTTCATAAAGAGACACTGTATTTAGTGTTCCTGTTTAATAGATTGATATTTCTCTATTTCTTTCCATTTTTCTTTTTTTTTTGTGCATGAGTTTGAACCGGTTTTACTGATGCTTCATCAAATCTACATTTCCCCATGCTTTTCAGAAGCGATGAGAATAAGGCTGCCCATACACTGGTCTAATTTTTTCATTCAACCCGTGAAAAAATTGACCCGATTCACCCATCAACACTAAGGCCCGGTTCACACCTGGCCGTTTTGTAGCGCGTTCCTACGCTCTGCAAAACGCTTAAACACCGAAATCCCATTATTTCCTATGAGTATGGTTCACACCTGGGCGTATTACAGGCCGTATGAACGCGCTACAAAACGCCCTACGCCCAAAGAAGTACAGGAGCTTCTTTGGGGCGTTTTTGTTGCGCGTTTCCATTGGGATACAGCCAAGTAGCCCTCGGAAACGTGCGTTTGTCGCGCATATTCGATACGCCTAGGTGTGAAACCAGCCTTACAGCGTGTTGATCGAGGAATCCCCACTGTTTACATACAGCAGCTGCCGATACCTGTCAGAATACCCGACCAGAGCGAGCAACTCATTGGCTGCCGGCTCTGATCGATTGAAGATTTTCTGACCGGCTCTTTCGATCAGCTGATCGAGGGATGCGATCAAAAGGGTGCCACAACGCACACACTGTACGAATTTCAGCCGCTTCCTCAACAACCGGCCAAAATTCGAACAGTGTATGGGCACCTTAAGGCCTTGTTCACACCAAATGCAGAGCAGATCCGCTCAGGTTTCTGCACACGCAGTGCAGTGGGTTGTGCCGCGTTTTTGCCGCGTTTTTGATGCGTTCCGGGCCGTTTTTGGTTAAAAAAAACATTTTTTTTTTTTAGTTTAACATGGGCTTTTTCAGTGCGTTCCAGGCATTTGCATGCATTTTTTATGCGTTTGCATGCGTTCCAGAGCAGATCCAGAGCAGGTAAAATAGGGCCTGCTGCCGTTTCTTTACCTGCTCTGGATCTGCACGCTGCGATGTGAACTGGAGCTAAAAATACCATTGGAATACATTGGACGCAGTTTTGATCCGGTCTGCACCTGCTTTGCTCTGCACCTGCTCCGCGCTTGGTGTGAACAAGGCCTAAGAGTTGTTTAGGAGATGTTCTATTTACTGTGAATGTGGAAAACCTTACAATCAACTTCTTTTTTGCTCCCTTTTGGTCTGTTAAATATACCATTGAATGAGTTATGTTATATCTGTTCAAATAAGTGCAAAAAATACCCATTGAGCCTGCCAGAACTTTTGTGATCTGATAAATTCCTGTACTGTCTGCCCATGTTCCGTTATTATCAGTTACCATTGCACCCTGTTCTCTCTGTGGACCAATAACACCTTCACTTCTATGTTTTAGAGAGGAGGAGAGAGGGAGGTGTTCTGTAGTCCTAAAAAAACATCTTGTTCTAGGTTGACAACGCTGCTCCTTAAAGTGACACTACACGTAGGAATTAAATCCTAAAAATACATTCAAGTACCTTAACTATTACAAAAAATTTATCTTCTTTGTGTATCATTCAGCTATAGCTCATCAAATCATCTGTGAATTGGTCACCTATCCTGGCTGATCACTGCTTGACAAAGAGGCTCCGCCTCGAAACGCGTAGCTACCGATCCAGTTTGCATAATTCTCTAGTACTCCTTTGACCTCTCTACTACTTCTGCCGGCATTCGCCACTACACGAACCACCGCTCTGCCTCCCGAGCTTACTGACAGGAAGCCGACATCATACAGCTTTTTAGACACACAGTGCCCCTGGCCAGCTGAGTCCGTGCAAGAGTCTGTTGTCCCTCCGTTTGCAGCGCTCGGTGCCAGAGGCAGATCACCCACCAGATCACTGGACCCTCCAGGTCTGTATTCACCCAGACACCCAACCGGACGTCCTCCCGCAGATGACTTCTTAAACGTGAGTCCTCCGGTATATTTCAACACAGTTGTAGCGCTCTCAATACATTTTTTATTCTGTGAATTGGTGCTGACACTGTCCTTCCTTCTGGAGGAGGGCTACTTTTGTTCCCCATTGTCCCTGTGTGTGTTGTAAAGTAGTCACCGCTCCAAGCTCACTCCTGTAATGGACTACAATCTCAATACAAATTGGTAAACCTAATGTGAGATTGTAGTCCATCCCAGGAGCGATCATGGAGTGGTGGCTACTTAACAACACACACAGGGACCATGGGGACAAAAGAAGCCACCCTCCAGAAGGAAGGACAGTGTCGGCACCAATTCAGAGATGATTTGAGGATCTACAGACGAGTGATACACAAATAAGATACATTTTTGTTCAAAGTTAAGGTGCCTGAATACATTTTTAAGATTTAACTCCTATGCAATATATTAACAGGGTTATTCACAAAAAGGGTGAAGGGTTTGGAAAAGTGTACAATTTCAGCCAAAATAGCTGATTTGGAAAAATTCTCCAATTCAGCTCACTTTCCAGGTCAGCTATGTTGTCCTAGATCACTTCTCCTGCCTTCTCCAAACCCTTCACCCTTTAGTGAATAACCCTGTAAGTTTTGGTTCTTGGGCTTAGATGTGCTTTATATTAAGTGTTACTTTCTAGCAGTGCATGTAACTATCCCTGCCACTGGAGTTGCAATGTTCCCAACTTACCCCTTTCATTACAGACTATATAGTCTTGGAGGTCCACCAGCCACTATATACTCAGTTATGGTATGTTTATTATGTGAAAATGTTACTGTTTTAATGCAATTTTACACTCTGCTTTAAAATATATATACACACAGTATATATATATAGATATACTGTGTATATCTATATATATATATG